CCCAGTTGGAAGCACCCTTATCTTAGAAATGTAGACATCTCTGTGAAGCCCAGCTCAAGGTCAGAGGCCTTGTTCACATATTTTTGTGAAAAACTAGTAAGGGGGTGTCCAGCACCTGGAGTGCTGATTTTTTCAGACAATGGCCAAGTAAAACAGGGCAACATGAAAAGTGGAAGTTTATCTACATTAAACTCTTTTGTAGAGATTCTTTTGCTGAAAGTCCTAAAATCAGCCATGGTGAATATTGCTGGAGAAGGTCAGTTAAGACCTTTCTGTGGGCCGGGTAGGGAGGCAGAAGACGGGAAGGTGGGGCTGAGAGCAGCTCTGGTGGATCTGAGAATGAGGAAGGAGAGATGTAAAGAATAATGGGAAAGGGGTTTGGGATATTCCTAGCAAGGAAAACTTGAGCAGCAGAACAGGTGGAGCAGAGGGGAAGATGGGAGTGAGTATCCCAAAAAGCCTGTGAGGGACTTTAATTCTTAGTAACCTTGTTTTCAGTGATGACAAAGCAACTTTAAAGGCCATTTTCACCAGATGTCGGATAGGGGTCTGAGGGCTCTCCTCAGCTGGTTGGAGCTTTGGGTTAGCTGGTAAGAGGACCTGGTGGGACCCGGTGTGGGCACTGACAGGAGAAGAGAGGAGTGGGTGGGTGGAGGGCTACCTCAGTAAGTGCTACCTCAGCAAGGGGGCAAGAGTCTGAGGAAGGGCGGTGGTGTAGGTTTTTGATCTAGTAACTGGAGGGGAGAAAGCAGGTTACTGAGGTGGGAGTGACGGCGGAGAGTCTGGGGCAGAAGGCTGAGAGTGAGGACCTATTCCAGCCAGGAGATAGGGTGGAGGTTCATTAGCAGGGTCAAAAGTAGTGGATGAGTCTGGAGGAGGAGAAAGTTGGGGATCATGGTTGGGGGAGTTGGTTTGCAAGCTGGAAGAATTTGTAGAGGTTTGCAAGAGGTGCAGAGAGCAGGATTGGATCAGAGCAAGAAGAAAGTGATCTCTACCCATTTTTTCGAACGCTCACAGTAATTATAGAGATCCCTCAGAATGGAGGGATCCAGGGACCTAAAAGGGGGCCATCTGCTTTGGTTGTCTAAGGGATAAGTGGGCCAGGCCTGGGCGCTATATCTGATCAATTTTTGGGGTTTTATGTCTGGTGTCAAGGAGAGGGTTTTGAGGTTATCCAAGAGGCATCGTAGGGGAGAGTTGACCAGCAGAGAGGACACATTACCCATGTCGCAAACGTAGTATAAGAGGAGGGAAGAGGGCGCAAACGTAGTATAGGGGAGAAGGAAGGAGACACAAACATAGTATAAGGGAGAGGGAAGGAGACACAAAGATAGTATAAGAGAGGAGGAGGAAACTGATTTATTGGCAAAAGGGACGTCTCCGCTAGAGCCAAAAATCAGGAGTGCCTTAGTGGCAGGTTCGAGCTGCAGAGATTGGTTGTCACCGAATCCTGACAGTCGAAGCTCTCGTCCTGGACGGAGCCAGAGCTGTGGGAGACCTTGGCCAAGGCTTTTCAGGACCCCTCCTGGAGAGGCCGCAGACTCCCAGGGCTGGAAAGAGGGGAAAGAGAGAGACAAGGGAAGAGAGAGGAAGGGGAGGGTAAGGTTCTCTCTGGCGGCCGAGTCTTGAAGGTGTGAGGACTAGGACTTTAGGAGAGCCACCGAGACTGTGAAGGTCTGGGTGGGGTGTGATGTTCAGTTCTCTGTCGTGTGTCCCTGGAGGTTACACAGTCCTTCCAGGAAGACCTACAAAGCCTATGTGGTAAACTACCAGCTGGGAAGGGGAAGGGGAATAATTTTGAACCCAGGAGTCTATTCTGCCCGAGGAAGGAGTCCCTGAGGGCCACCGTGGCCTTGAAGGCTGTGGTGGGTGCTTTCCTCCCCGAAGGTGGGCGAAGAGGTTTGCCGGACAACCAAGGGTCAAATCCTCCTGACACCACCATTGGGTTTAGGGCTCCAGGAAGGGGAACTTACCAATAGAAGGCCAGGGGTGGATGGAGTTCTGGGGTCGAGAAAATGGGTTCAGGCCGTCGGTGAGTGGCACTTCCGCAGGAAGAGGGACCCAAAAGTGGGTTTTAACCCTCTCCTGGGTCTCGGCACCAATGGGAGGAAATTGACCACAACACTCGGAGTGACCAAGAGATCTTTATTACAGCAGTGCAACAGAGGAGAAGAGAGAGAGAGAGGAGGAGAGAGAGAGACAGAGAGAGAGAGAGAGAGAGAGAGAGAGAGAGAGACAGACAGAGAGACAGAGACAGAGAAAACAAGAGAGATAGCAAGAGAGAGAGAGCAAGAGAGAGACTAAGAGAGCAAGAGAGAGAGGGGCCCGGCAGGAGGGGGTTTTTATAGCCCAAATCTAATGGGGTCTCTGGGTCTGCAAGCTGCCTTGTTGGCACAAGGGAGGTTAAGTGTTTGGCCTTGAGCAGTGGGCTGAGTGTTCAGCCTTGAGTGGGGGCTTAGGCATTTGGGCTTGAAGCAAATAGTTGATAAAGAACCAGACAGAGGGTTTGAGTGGCCAGGTCACCCTGCAGCTAACTTTATTTGGCATGCCCTGCAGACAGCTTACTCAGCCTGTCCTGCACCTAACAGCTATGCCATGTTTATACACGCACATAACATGATTTGCTCAATCTACTTCCTAGTGCCTCCCTTTCCCTCCCCTCCTCCCACCCTCCACCATTGGCATCTCTCCTCGGATCTCCCCTTCATCATCATCATTATGCAAAGCATCTTATCTTGCTGTGAGATATTCTTCCACAGAATCATTTCAATTACCGCTTAGCATTCCACATGACTTTCTCACACACTTGTTTTTTAATCTGCCCTTCTAGGGGTCTTCTTAGTATTTTCTCTTTTACTCTCATGAGCAAGGCCATGATACACATATAAATATCATGGAAACATCAGCATTTCCCAAAGTGAAACTATATTAACAGTGGGTAATAACATGTGAAGTGTTCACTCAGGTGTGGTGAGGCTTATAACCTAGTGACTTGGGAGGCTGAGGCAGAGGAAGCCAGCCTGGGAAAATTAGCAAGATCATGTCTTAAAATAAAATAAAATAAAAAGGGTCTCAGTGTGTAGCTCAGAGTTAGAACATTCCTAGTAACAAAAAAAAAAAAAAAAAAAAGTAAGGACTTCACCTGACAGATGACATTGAGTTTATGACTACTTCACTATTGGTCAGTCTCTCCCTATAATTTTGTGATTTAATTCATGCTGCATACATTCCCAAACGTCAACTTGCATCTGTCTGGACACAGATGCTGAGCAGGCGGTCATACAGTAGACTCCCCCTCATTCATGGAGGATGTGTCCAAGGACCCCAGTGGAGGTGTGCAGCTCTCATGGTTCCAAACCCTCTCACGGTTCTAGGTTTTTCCCTATATCTACATACCTATGAAAAAGTTACATGTATAAATCAGGCATAGTAATAAATTAACATCGATGACTTAAAGTAGAATAATTATTACAATACACTGTAATTAAATGGCCAGCACCGCTACTCGCACTTTAGAGCCATCATTAATTAAAATAAAGGTGACTTTAACACAAGTGTTATGAAATCATGATGTTTAATTTGACAAACTAGAGGCTAGTAAGTGACTAAGGGTGGGTAATATATTCTGGACCAAGGATTGATTTATGTTTTTAGTGAGGTTTCATCATGCTACTCAGAGCAGCAAAACAATTTAAAACTTATTAATTATTTACTTCTGGGATTTTTTTAATTTAAGGAACGTGGAGAAGCAATATATCATGCTAATATATCAGTGTTTAAGAGCCAGACCTTAGAGCTAGACTGCCTAGGCTGGAGTCTTGGTTCTGTTTCTACTAGAAATGGATCATGTTGCTCTTGGTCAACTTACTGCTGCTACCGTCTGAGCAGCTGTGTTCCTTGGAGAGTCGCATGTTCCTTCTTAACCCCCAAAGCAATCCTATGAAGAGGGAGGCCCTCGGGGGATGATTCGATTGTGAGGCTGGAACTCTAATGAATCGGATCAGCGCCCTTGTAAAAGAGGCTTGAGGGGGGCTCATTTGCCCCTTCCACCATGCAAGGATATACTGAAGTATCATTTATGAGAACAGACCCTCACCAGACACCAAATCTGCTGGTGCCTTGGTCTTGGACTTACCAGCCTCCTAAACTGCAAGTAATATTCTGTTGCTTATAGATCATGCAGTCTGACATCGGTCATTTTAGCCATTCAGATGGACTAAGTCACTTGCCTTTCCTCGTGCTCAGGGGATGGTGCTGACGGCAGAAGCTCGCCGAAGGTCTGAAGTAACCGTGAGCGTCAGGCACTCAGAACTGGGTCCCCCTCAGAGAGAGCCATGTGGAATCAGTAGAGAGAGAAAAGGGGAGGGGAGGGGAGGGGAGGGGAGGGGGGATAGTAGACAATAGGACAGACAGCAGAATACATCAGACACTAGAAAGGCAATATGTCAATCAATGGAAGGGTAACTGATGTGATACAGCAATTTGTATATGGGGTAAAAGCGGGAGTTCATAATCCACTTGAATCAAACCGTGTAATATGATGTATTAAGAACTATGTAATGTTATGAACGACCAATAAAAAAAAAAATGGAATCAGTAATTGTGATCATTAGTGTCAACAAATGAACTTGCTCCGGCATTAAAAGGATTACTCTAATTCTCTTTTCTTTTTTCTTTTTTTGGCACTGGGGATTGAGCTCAGGGGCACTCAACCGCTGAGCCACAACCCCAGCCCTATTTTGTATTTTATTCAAAGATAGGGTCTCACTGAGCTGCTCAGCACCTCACTTTTTCTGAGTCTGGCTTTGAACTCACCATCCTCCTGCCTCAGCCTCCCGAGCCATGGGATTACAGGCTTGCACCACTGTGCCCTGCCTCTAATTCTCTGAATGCCACAGGATGAAAGATAATGGTCATTCATTGCTGGGCTCTTTTACTTCCTTTTTTGGCTAATTATACAAAACCTATTCTGAAAGACACATCTCATCCTGTGTTCACAGGCCCCAGACGGTGGCTGAGAGATTGCTTCTCAAACAGCTGGATCAAGCGCTCATGCTGCTGTGGACATTGCTGGTCTTCTCTGGTAAGTTCAATAATTTGAATTAGGACAGAGGTAGAAGCAGGAGGAGATTTCTGGCTTCCAAATAGGTCTGAGGCTTATGAGAGCCCAGAAAACAGTGGGATAATCGAGTCTCTGTTTCCAGCTTTGACTTCAGAAGCAGATGCAAATCCGGGGCTATAGAACATGAAATTGCATAACATCCTCACCCTTAACATTCAGGGTAGGCTGCCTTGTCATTTTTTGATCATAAGTATGTGTTTTAATATCTTGGAGCTCATCGAGGAATATGATACATTCTTAAGTAAAATGTTCATGATCTGAGAGCTTAATACTCACACTAAATAAATGTTTGACCTTGGAATCAAAGGGCTCTAACATAGAAAATATGGTCTGAGGAAAGGTATTGATTTAGGCTGAGTTCAACTCTCATGTCTCTCCCCATGTATACATTTCCTGATGCACACTTTGTGAATGTGACTGCATTGGCATGTGGCGATGTGGTGCTTGAAAAACTTGGATATGAGGGAGGGTCCTGGGGTGGGGGAAGAAGAATGAAATAAAGAAGAGAATCACTAAACACTCAATGTCCATGGGACTTGTTCCTAGCAATGCCTCTGGTCATGGGATGAGTTTGCAACTTGACTTGTTTGTTTGTTGTTGTTGTTGTTTATTTGCTGCTGGGGATTGAATGCAGGGTCCCATCCATGCCAGACAAGGGTCCCACCACTGAGCTATACCCACAGCTCACAGCTTGACTTGTGATCAAGGCTAATTGTGTGTTTGAGGAAGACTGGATTCCTGGTTGTGAGGGAGTAGGAGAAGAGAGAAAGGGGGAAGATGGAAAGAAGATTTTTGAGCAACCTTTGAGAGTGATCTTAATTTCTAAATTGCGAACACAAATGTTCTGTGCTAACCTCTGGCTTTTGCTCCCATTACAGTGCCATTCAGCAAACGGGGAGGTGAGTACCCTCTTTTATTGTTCTCCACCTAGGGCACATTAGTCACTGGCCACCACAGGGGTAGGCAAAAGGACTGTGGAGACGTCCAGATGTTACAATCCCCTGGGCTGACACACTCTGTGATGATGCGGTCTCTGCTCCCACACGGCCAACCCTCCCAGGTGATCACACCACACCCCTTAAGAATCCAGGTGCAGGGAGAGAGGTGACATCCCAAAGAGGATCTGCAGGCTGGCTGCAGAAGAGACTGCATCCAGAACCATCTACAGCTCCTTAGTGTTGTCTGGCTGAGCGCCGAATGTGCTCACAGCTCTGAGGATGGTTATTCCTGGAGAAAAGCTGAGGGCTCAACCCTTCTGGGTGGGCAGACCCAGCCTGTGCCAACAGTCTTGTCCAGTGCTGGGTCAGGAGGCAGCAAATTTTTTCCCATAAGAGTCCAGAGAGTAAATAGTTTAGGGCTCTCTGGCCGCTGGCCTAACTCCTGGACCCTCTCCTCCCGACAGAAAAGCTGATAGGGATCACATGTAAGTGACAGGGGACCATGCCTAAGTTCCAATGACACTTTATCTACCCAAACGGGACATCTGTGACTCATAGTCCATTGCCGACCCCTGCTCTAGACTCATTTTTTAGTTTAGTTTTTTTTTTTTAAACACATAGTGCTTTTCTAAAGCTGTGTGACTAATTCCATCTTGATCCTTTTGATTTAAAGCTGTGTTTAATAAAGAGAGGAGGCAAGGAAAAATTTTATTCTATAATATACAAAATACTAAATCTAGAGAAAGAGAGAATTGTTCTCTTGCCTCTCCAGTGATAGGATCAGTGGAAGGGCTCTCTGGGCTCCTGGAAACTGTTGTGGGATAAGCAGATGTCCACTTTCACCCTAAATGGAATAGGAGGGTCCAGGGACACCTTCAGAGTCCTGGCCGGGCCTTCATCATCAAGTCTCGTCTCCTGCATTCATTTTGTCCCACGTAAGGCCCCTGTGCCATGTCGGTCCCCTACTTCCCTTTGCACCTGTCTGGGCGGTCATGTGCAGAAGTCTCAGCGCTGAGCTGGTTTCTGACAACAGGTGGGAATCCTGCTATTACTCAGTCTCAGGGTGGCATGGAGCAGGCCGCCTGCAGTGACTCACCCTCAGCCTCTCGCAGAAGAGGGCGACAGCCACTTGACTTCCTTTTCCTTCCCCGTTCTCAGAAAACGGGATGCTCTTCAGAGCACTCAGAGCCCTCCCTTAAAAAAAAAAAAGCGGGGGGACCTTAGTTCAGCCTGTTGTAGTGAAAAGAGTAGAAGTCACACAGCCCGAGAGGCCAGGTTCAAATCATGGCTTGTTGAGAATGCGTCCCTGCAAAGGGACAAAGATGCCAATCTGCATAGCAGCCGAAAATGACTCTCTCCACCCAGACCCTCAAGGTGGCCCCCCTCTGCCCGTTTCCTCCTTTCGGCTCCCCCCCCCCCATAACCTGCAGGCACCACCTGGGAACTTCCCCCTCGCATGCAAACCTCTGAGAAATATCATTTGCCTTTTGTTTTTGCTGCTGTTCGGGTGAAAAGACTTTTTTTCACAGAAATTCTTGTAAAAAACAAAAATCAAAAAGCCTCTAAATAGCTTGGCCCTAGTTACACTTTTGTGGTCCCGTTTGTTTGTTCTGCTTAAGGGTTTCTCTGTTCACAGCCTGAGCTCCCCCTGCCCCTCGCTGTTGTTAGCCCAATGCGATTCTCCCTTATCCTCCAGCAGGATTCCTGTGGGTGCTCCTGCCCTCAGGATGACCCTGCTGGGTCTTTATCAACCGGCTGATGGGTGGATCCATTCTTCTCTTGCAAAAGAAAGGCTTCCACAAGAGGCACTGATGAAGGGTTTATTTAGCAAAATGAAAGCGGGGAGTGTCTGCCCCAAGAGAGAAGGCAAAGCCCACAGCTTCTGGGTGTGGACGTTTATGGCCTGCTGAGGTTCCTCCCCGCTCTATGAATTATCATTTGGGGGAAGTTCCAGCCATTACCCTCCTTAAGGTCAGTTTCACCCTGTTGGCAATCACCCCAGTGGCCTGCGCCCATTTTCTCCAGATTGACAGGGAGCTGTCTGACTGCAAGGAGGTGCTCCCTGGGCAATGTAGCGGCCAGTTGTGAGCTGCCCCGGGGCGCGCAACCTGCATCTCCTTTCCCACACCTCCCCTGCTCCTGTCCATCTAGTAGTCTAACCCTCCTCATTGCTAGAGGGTTTGGAATCCCCTGAAGAGGGACAGTCAGCATTAGGGCTTCCTCACGCTGCCTTTCCAGGGCCTCTGATCCATCTCTGTCCACCAGAGATACTGTACCCAGAATGGACCACAGGAGAGCCAAGGAGTCGGTCACACTTCTGCTGAGGCTTCCTAATGGCCGGGTGGTGGGCATCTGAGTAGTCCCAGCAACCCTGGGAGCAAGTGGACACAGACTCCAACACAACACAAAAGCTGGGCCCCAGCTCAATCCCACTCCCTACAACGCCACTCCTAAGAGGCTTGACTCAAGCCACCGTCACCCCTCAGGCTCCCCGTGCACACCCCATCTTGCAGACCTGAAACCCACTATTTCGGTTGCTTTTGAAGTGCAGCCATGATAACCTCTTATTCTTCCTCGGCCATCATGGTCATCATTAGCCTCGGCAACAAACCCCTGCCCCTCAGCTACCCTCATCGTTAACCGAAGGGTCCGGAGAGGCAAGCTTCGTTCTAGGCTTATTTCACAGAATCCTTAAAACAGCCCGATGAGAGGCCAATATTCTTCACTGTTCAAACGAAGGCAGAGGAAGCTAAAGTGCTCTGTCCGAGACCATTCAGCAGACCTGGATTCAAAGCAGTGTGACCCGAAACTTAGCCACTGGGTCAGACATTTCTGACAACTAAAATCGCAGTCACTCTTGACGTCCTTGTGTCCCAGCTGTGTGCCCTCTCCCCAGCAGGCTCACCCTGCTGTGCCCACTTACTGGGTGAATAGCGTGTCTTTACATCCTCTGGTCCCTTCTGCTCTCTGCCCTGTGGCTAACTCTTGGGGCCTTCTGACCCATAAGGATTTTGAGATAATGAATCAACTGACCCAAAGGCTCGCTCCGCAGCAGGCCTCTACCTGTGAGGCTGCCCATTGTACCATTTGTCACCAGGGTCCTTAACCAATGACTCAGAATGTTTCCTCTTCCCAACAACTTTCTTTCCCCAGGAAATTTTTTTCCCCAGTTTCTGAAGGAAGCGTAGACTAGTGGTTTAAAAGAATGATGGATGTTTGAGGTGATGGATATGCTAATTACCCCCATCCAATCATTGCATAGCAGTAGTCCATAAATAAATCCAATTAAACCCACTTTAAAAAAAAAGTTGGTCTTCTAATGCCCAACGGGTCATGATGATTTTGCTGGAGCATCCAGTAATAAAGCACAAGCTTTCTCAAAAATTATAATCCCCAATTCCACAAGCCTCCTGTGGCCTGTTGGCTGGGATTCTGCAGTGGTATTCTACGAGCCAACACCGCTCCTTCCTTCCGCTGCACACCCAGAGACAGGCGGTCACGGTCACGATACAATCGAAGAGTGCTAAGGGGATTTTTCATTTGCGATGCCTTAGTGATCTACCTGAAGGCCAAAGTTCTCACCTATAATCCTAAAATGTAATGGAAGTGTCACTAACCCAGAACATAGTCTGGTACCGCAAATAAGTGAACTGACAGGAGAGAAATTAGAGAGTCCATGGCCAGTCTAAGGGAAGGAGCCCTGGGACACACTTTTGAATTTTTTTCCCCCCCTCACTATGGTCAATCCTTAGGAACTGAACCTTGGATTAAAAGTTACCCCCACCTCATTGTACACTGAATGACCAGGTGAGGGAAAATTTCTGAAGACATTCCAATAGAAAGTTCTGAGAATCGGAGAGACTGGACCTCATTCTAGTAACTGGCCTACTTCCCAGGGCCACTCTGTGGTTCATCGGAGGAGATGAGAGGAAGGGACAGGCTCAGAATTTATGAAACGATGCCGCCTCTCTAGGACGGGGTAAAGACATGGGGGACGGGACAGCGGAGTGCCCATGGAGAACGGTGACTCCCTGATGGCATCACCAATGTCGGGGGCTCGGGATCAGGAGCTTGGGCAAAACACTTCATCCATGAATAAAGTCATGTGTATCCTGACATTTCCTGGAGGGACTGAGTGTTCTTGCCCCCATTACCTCCACCAAAGGTCCATGTTGAAACTCTAATCCTCATGGGATGGTTTTTGGAGGTAAGAACCTGTTTGTGGGAGGGGTACCAGGGATTGAACTCAGAGGCACTCAATGACTGAGCCACATTCCCAGCTCTGTTTTTTGTTATTTATTTAGAGACAGGGTCTCACTGAGTTGCTTAGCACCTCGCCTTTCCTGAGGCTGGCTTTGAACTTGTGGACTTGTGAGCTGGTTTCAGCCTCCCAATCCACTGGGATTACAGGCATGGCCCACCACACCTGACTGGAGGTAAAAACTTTGAGATACAGTTAAACATGAGATTGGAGCCCTTGGAAATGGGATAAATTTATTTATTTTTCTTTTTTTTAGATGTTTTAATTTGTTCTAATTAGTTATACATGGCAGTAGAATGCATTTTGATACATCACACATAAATGGAGTAGAATTTCACATTCCTCTGGTTGTACGTGATGTAGAATCACACCAGTCATGTAATCACATTTGTACACAGGGTGATAATGTCCCATTCATTCTACTCTCCTTCCTTACCCTCATACCACTTCCCCTCCCTTCACTCCCTTCTACCTAATCTTAAGTACCTCTATTTTTCCCTAGCCACCTCTCCGCATTGTGAATTAGCATCTGCGTATCAGAGAAAACATTCAGCCTTTGGGTTTGGGGGGTTGGCTTATTTTTCTTAGAATGATATTCTCCAGTTCCATCCATTTACCTGCAAATGCCATAATTCCATTCTTCTTTAAGGCTGAGTAATATTCCATTGTGTATATAAACCACATTTTCTTTATTCATTAAGTTGGTTCCTTTAAAGATGAATCTAGAAAGCCAGTGAGTTATTTTTGCCCTATGTGAGGATACAATGAGAAGTCAGCAAGTGACAGCCTGAAAGATGCACCTGACCTCAGACTTCTAACCTCCAGATGTGAGGGAAGTAAATTCTCATTGTTGAAAAGCCACTCGGTTTGTGGTGTTTAGTTACAACAGCCTGAACTAAGATTCTCCTGTTAGGATTTGGATCTGGAATATCCCCCCAAAGCTTGTGTTTTGAAAGTATGATCCCCAATGCGACATGGTTCAAGGGTGGGGCTTTTAGGCAATGACTTGGGCTCTGACCTCATCAGTGGATTAATCCAGCAAGTGGATTAATCTTTTGATAGCTAACATGAACTGAGCGGCTTTCCTCTATGCCATATCACCATGATGTTCTACCTCACCTTGGGCCCGGGACAATGGAGTCCGTCAGCCATGTACTGAGACCTCTGTAATCTTGAACCAAATAACTTTTCTGCCTCTAAAAGTTGTTCATACCAGGTATTTTGATCACAGTGTTGAAAAGCTGACTAGCACACCCCCTAAGGAAAAATGGTATGCAACGCTTAGTAATGAAGGTCTGACTTTGCACCTTCCTCTTGTCTAAAGAGGTAGAGGCTCTGCCTGACACTTCACCGCCCAGGAGCAAAGTGGGACACGGGGTTCCCTTCAGGAATGGTAAATAGAGTTTCCCTCCTTCCTTTGCAGATGGGCTGACCCTCCTGGCGCCCTCTCCTGTCTTTGAAGGAGACAGGATTGTTCTGACGTGCGAGGAAAAAAACAACAGAAAAAAACAGATAAGTTTCTATAAGGACGGGAAAAAGTTCTCTTCTTCCAATGAACTCTCAAGCTTCCCTATACAAAGTGCGCTTTTGAGTGACAGTGGCATTTATTTCTGCACCGCTGCTTCTAAGATCTTTCTGAAACGGGAAACATCTTCAGAAAAAGTGAAGATCACAGTTCAAGGTAAAAACCTTCACTCTTATGTGCGATGGGCTGGGCAGGAGGCTGGGGACAGAGCAGAATGGGTATCTGGCAGGAGGCAGCTGCCCAAGCGAGGACCCGATGTGCACTGACGCACTTGCTATTTGAGCACGCAGAGGAGACACGGAGGGGAAGGTGTCTGGTCCTGAATCATCTGTTTCCTGCGGCCACTTCTCACCCAGAACTTTTCAGCGGGAACCTGAATCTCACTGCTCTTGGGACTATTGTTTTCCTTCTCTCTAGAGCTGTTCCCGCGTCCTGTGCTGACAGCGAGCTCCTATCAGCCCACGGAGGGAAGTCCAGTGACCCTGACCTGTCAGACTCAGCTCCCTCCAGAGAGGTCACATGTCCAGCTCCGGTTCTGCTTCTTCAGAAACCGTCGGGTTCTGGGGTCAGGCTGGAGCAGCTCCCCAGAGCTCCGGATTCCCGCCCTGGGGACAGAGGACTCAGGGTCCTACTGGTGCCAGGCAGAAACAGTGAGTCACAGGATCAGAAAACAGAGCCTTCGATCCCAGATTCGCGTGCGGAGTAAGTATCAGCAGGGTTGAGCCCAGGGGGGGAAGAGATGAGCACTGGAACTTGGATTTATAGTCTTTTTGCTTCTTTGTGTAACGCCTGTCCTGGTGGAACGCAGGAACCCCGATAGAGACATTCCAAGTTGCTCTTGACATCAGTCTTCTAAGAATCAGGAATAGACTAAGCTGCTTATCACTTTTCTTTATTAGCAAAGAGCAGTGGTCTGGGCACTTTAAAAAGCAAGACACCTGCTCTTCATTGGCTTTTCCAATGCCCACATGCTGGGGTCACACATCTGAAGGCTATGTGATACTACAAAGGCCTGTGGGGCTCAATGCAGCCTCAGAGAAAGCAGAGATCCAAGCGAACGGAAGTGGTCAGTGGAGAGGTTGTAATTTAAGCCTTGAAACCAAGAGTAATAGAAGAATTTTTATTGCAATTGTATTAGAGAAAAAAATTGCCTTTTGCAAGGGGGCGGGGACTGATGATACCAGTGTCCCTCTTCATTTTGTGTAAAGGGCCACTGTCTGCAAAGTGACTCATCCAGAAAAAATTTCAAGCTTCCCATCTCATGAAATGGATAATTCATCACAAAATCTGTAATTAATGCTACACCCATGATATTAGCCAAGAACAATGTTCTTCAAGGATATTTCTCATGGACTCCCTATCTCTGTAGGAAGGCTTCTCATGGAGTACAGATGCAATCCCCATGTTCCCACGCCTTGCATTGGAGAGCGGAATCAGTCTATCAGCTGTTCTCAGAGTCTCCTGAAGTCAGGGTCTCTCACATGTCATTTTATGCCCATCTAGGAGTCCCCGTTTCCAAAGTGAGCTTGGAGACCCAGGCCCCTGGGGGACAAGTGATGGAAGGAGGGAAGCTGGTCCTGCTCTGCTCCGTGGCCGAGGGCACAGGAAACATCACATTCTCCTGGCACAGAGAGGCCACAGGAACCCGTCTAGCAAAGAAGACCCAGGGTTCCTTGTCAGCAGAGCTGGAGATCCCAGCTGTGAAGGAGAGCGATGGCGGAAAATATCTCTGTCGAGCTGACAACGGTCACGGTGCTGTCCAGAGCCAGGTGCTGAACATTCTTGTGAGAAGTGAGTTGGGTTCTCATTCCTCTCTGCTGGACGTGCTAAAGCTAAGTCCATGGTACCCAGGTAGCATGAGGAAATCCCAGGTGGCCTCAGGGATCAGTGTGGCAAAGACAATTTGAAGATGGATTAGCCACGTAAACTAAGTGGACATCTTTCTTGGCATGGAAGGATCGGTCTAAAATAAACAAATAGATAAATAAAATGAGAACAACAAATCACCGTATCTCTAGACAGTATCACAGAACCCATATTCTTCCAAATCTCTAGATACAATTGACCCTTGAACAATGTGGGTTTGACCTGCACATTTCTGCTCATACACAAATCTGGGTTTTGTTTGGTTTTGTTTCTTTAGATTTACAGCAATTTGAGAAAAAAAAAAAATCCACAGACCAACCATCAACCGTGTAGCTTAGAAATATTTCAAAAAAAATTTTAAGTTAGGCATGCCATGAAGGCCTAAAATATAGGTAAATAATAATCTGTTTTATTATTTACTATCATAAAGTACAGACAAAAATCTTATAAAAAGCTAAAGTTTGTCAAAACTTGCACAATGCAGGCTGGACACAGTACCATTTGCAGTGGAGAGAAACGTCAACACATGTCAGGGTGCGGCATGATAGTAAACTTGCGAAAGATTAACTGTTGTGCCTACTCTGGTGCTGTAGTAACTTCAGAGTCACCTGCTGTGGCCATGGCGGTGAGATCAAGTATTGCAAGTGTGCACTCAAGCACCCTGTAATTAATGCCAGTCACCTCGTGAGCAGTCCCTCTCTCCAGGAAATTGTGATTTCTCATGGTTCTGGACTATTTTTCACTGTATCAGATAATATAACATACAAAACGTGTGTTCATCGGTTGTCCGTTGGTAAGGTTTCCAGCCAACAGGAGACGACCCGTGGATGAGTTTTAGGGGAGTCCAGAGTGATATGTGGATTTTGATGGCGCGGGGGTTGGCACACGAACCGCCACCTTGTTCAAGGGCAACTGCACCTTGTGGAGGAAAGTGTCTCTGTTTGGTGAGGTGAGATGTGAGAATGATAAACAGGACCCCAGGCCTCGCTGCAGCCCTAGTGTGGGTGTGGGGTTCTGCTGCCTTTCACAGATCCTCTGATCACCTTCTTGTGCCTCTCAGTTCCAGTGTCCCGCCCTGTGCTCACCCTCAGGGCTCCCAGGGCCCAGGCTGAGGTGGGGGACGTGGTGGAGCTTCACTGCGAGGCCCTGAGGGGCTCTCCCCCGATCCTGTACCAGTTTTACCTTGAGGACGTCACCCTGGGGAACAGCTCGGCACCCTCTGGGGGAGGAGCATCCTTCAACCTCTCCCTGACTGCAGAACATTCTGGAAACTACTCCTGCGAGGCCGACAATGGCCTGGGGGCCCAGCGCAGTGAGGCCCTGTTACTCCCCATCTCAGGTGGGCTTGTGGCCCCTAGATACTTGACGTATTATGATCCGTGACTGCCCCACCTGTCCTTATTGGTACAATATTGGGATTTCAGAAGACAGGAGGGTGATGTCTGTGGTGTGTGGAGAGGGGGAAGGGGAGTCTCCATGTCTAAAATCTGATTTTCTTCTCCCAACCACGAGAGTACAGTCTACACTTAAATGGTCTTTTACCTGAATTTGTATCTACCCGGTTTTTTAAAAATTATTGTATTGGTTCTTTTTAGTTAGACATGACGGTAAATCCATTTTGACATAATTATTCAAGCATGGGATCTATCTTATTCTAATTCAGATCTCAGTACCTCTCCTTCCCCTTCCCCTTCCCCTCCCCCTCTCCCCGCCCCCTCCCCTCTATTGATCTTTTCGCCCTTTACCCATAGTTACCTTTTAAATTAATTTCTTGTGTACATACGTGATGGTGAGATTCATGTATATATAGAGGAAACTTGTGTCCAACTCATCCCACCGTCTGTCTTTTCCCTGTTCTCTCCCCTTCCCCTCATTCCCCTCTGTCTAATCCACTGAACTTCCATTTGCCACCTACCTTTCCTACTTAGTATTGTGGGGCTCCAGGCCCCAAGGTTTGACCTTCTGAAGCTGAAGCCCTGGTTTCTTCCCTCAGGACCTGATGGATATAGAAAAAGCCATGTCACAGCCAAAGTTCTTGGGGGACTCTTTGGGGTCCTTGGCTCCACCAGTGTGGCTCTGCTGCTGTGTTATTGCTGGTCCCACAAGGCACCAGGTGGGTGTCTATGATTTCTTTTTGTTTTCCCTTTCTTGCTATCACCTTTTCCATCAATAATATAGACTGGATTTACAGAAAGAGAAGAAAAAAAGACAAAGAAGAAAAGGAAAGGAAAACTTTTCTAAAAGCCAACAATTTCTTGCCGTACTCCACAACTCTGCAAGGTCCCCTGCAGAGGGCGACACTGCCACCACACTACTGATTTTACAATATGCCACTATTTCCAATTGTGGTCATTTGAGATAGAAATGCCGACACATTTCTCCATGCTTGACTTTTAACTTAAAAGTCAGAGCATTGAATACAACTCCATAATTTTTAATAGACATAGTTTATACACAATAGGATAAGATATATGTAAGGTAGATCTAAAGCAACTAAAACAATTTGATGTGATCGTTTCTCTTTGATCCATTTCTTACTAGTTACTCTGCTCTCACAAGAGCAGTGACTTCTTTTTGAATTCTTGGATCCATTATTTGAGTTATAAGGAGACAACGTCGCCCATGGCTTGTGGTTGATGATGGCTTTGGGTTGGGATCCCAGCTGAGACTGTCAACTAGAGCACACGCAGATGACCTCTCTCTGTGGATTTCCTCAGAGCACAATGACTTCAAAGTAGTCATATTTTTCTCATGTCAGCCTAGACTCCAGAGTGAGTGGGAATGATCTGCCTCCATGTTATGGTGGGCTGGTGCCCCACAAATTTGGCCCAGATGTAAGACGACAGGACACAGAGCCCACCTCTAACGGATGAAATAGCAAAGAATCTGCAGCCATGATTTTAAAATTTCCACATACACACCACCACATATCCCAACCCATGACTGGAATCCACTCTCCTAACCCCAAATGACTATAAAAAACACAAACCTTCGGCTGCCCTCAAGAACCTGCAGGTGTTTTATGAAAAAAGTAATTCTCCCTGAGACTATCCTCCCCAAGTCTTATCTCAGTGTTTCTTTATTATCTTATTGCTTTATTTATTTATTTTCATGATACTAGGAATTAAACCCAGGGGTGCTCTACCACTAAGCTACACCCCCCACCCAGTTCTTCTAATTTTTATTTTTGTTTTAATTTTGAGACAGGATCTCACTAAATTGCTCAGGTTGGGCAATAGTGAGAGGTCATATGCATGTGCTCTAGTTGACAATCTCAGCCTGTGTCCCAACCTATAGCCAGCATGCTTCTGCCTCAGCCTCCAGAGTAGCTGGGATTACAGGCATGCACCCCTGCACCCAGCTGTTATTCATGCAGTCTGTCAGATACAGGATAAGCACACCAGAATCTCTATGCAAACTTTTAAGCTTGTGCAAAGCACTTCCTTAGACTTATCTATTAACACCAATTAAAAGGAATTTAGGCAATTCATCAGTTAATTTTTTTTCCAAGTAGTAAATATTTCAGCCAGTATTTTCAAGTCCAGTGGAAGTTCTATTTTTCAACAGACAACCCAAGATGAAGGAATTATGATACTACACCAGCTTCTCTGTTCCTCTCCACTGCTCTGTTCCCCATATAATTTTCTCAGGCCCTAACGCCTTTCTAGACCTTCTTTCCTTATCACTGACTTGCTTTGGGGGAGGTGAAATGGTCTTCCGGGACCTTCTACATGGGCAGAAGGTAACAAGTCCTGCTCTGTTTCCTCATCCACAAAATAAGAAAATAGAATCACCTAACTTAACTTCAACTGGTCCAGACTACAAAAGAGGGTATTTGTTCTTTTCCATGGTGACAGCATGGGGCGTCTGTATGAGTCTGCTTGGGCTGCTATAACAACAGCAAAAAGTATGGATTAGGTGGCTTAATTTTCTCCCAGATCTGGAGGCTGGTAAGTCCATGGTCAGGATGTAACAAAGCAGGTTTCACTCGGAGTCCTCTTCTCTTAGCTGACAGGCAGCTTGTCGGCAGCTGTCATTTGCTGTGTGCTAACATGACTGCTTAGAGGAATGTGCTGGGAAAGACCCCACATTCTCTGGTGTCTCATATAAGGACATCCATCCTATTGCATAAAGGCCCCACCCTGTGGCTTCATTTAAACACAGTCACTTAAATTTAATTAAGGACTCTATTTCCAAATGTGGCCATATTGGGCTTTAGGGTTCAATAGGTGAATTTGGGGAGAACTCAAACATTCAGTCTGTAACAATGCCCAACATAGGGTTATGAGAACACCTTTCAAGCCTCCTATTGTCCCATTGACCAAAGTAAGTCACATGGACGTGCCCAAATACAAATGGAAAAATAGTCTCTACCTCTTTACTGGGGAATGACAAAGTCACTTTGCAAATCATTGCATATAGAAAAATGGAAACTTAGAGATACTTTGTCTCAAATAGTAAGTAAAGAAGGGCTGGGGTGTGGCTCAGTTACAGTCTCTGGGTTCAATCCCCAGTATCACAAAGAAAAAAAGAAAAAAAAAACTGATACCAAAATATACAGTGAAAAGTGATCATTTCTCTCACTTTCCTGGGTCTCTCAGTTCCTTTTCTCAAAGGCTTCCACTATCAGCAATATCTTGTGTATTAGTAATACCTCATGTAACATACGATCTGCTATGTATAACTTAGCATATTTATGAATATTATTTGGGGATGTTGCATATTCAATACACACATAATGACAAAGACTCTTCATTTGTTTGTTTATTTACTTATTTTTGAGATGGGATCTTGCTATATTGCCAGGTTAGCCTTGAATTACTGGGTTCAAGTGATCCTCCTGCCTGAGCCTCCAGAGTAGTTGGGACTACAGGCAAGTGTTAACCACACTCAGCTTCACAACATCTTGTTAACGACTGTGAAGTGTTTTACTTAAGGATTCATCATAATTATTTTAATAGCCTTTTAATGATGGCTGTTTAGGTCACCTCAAGTCATTTTCCATTATGCACAATGCTACATGTGTCAATAGATCCCTAAGAATAATTCTCTATAACATAAACTGACAATGGGCAGATTAAAAGAGAAAGGGTATGCAAGTTTATTATGTGCACCAGGGTTTCAGAAGAATGAAAAGTGAATACACGAAAAACCAGTGAGATTTAAGAGCTTGTGTAGCCTCTTTATATGGGGGGAGGGAGAGAAGATACAGGCCATTTAGGGAGAGTTAAGTGGTTTTTAGGAAAGATGAATGGGTCCTGTTATATTCAGAGTGCATCTCCTGGAAGTTCATATGCTAGAACTTTTTATATGTTAACCCCCAAAGTCATAAATTAGTGATATTTAATAGTGAAATAAGAGAGGTGGGGTTGTTGGGAGATAAATAGGGTTAAATGAACTCATGATTGTGGGGATTCCCATGACAGTATTAGTGACTTGGTAAAAAGAGGAAGCTAGAGACCCAAGCTAGCATGCATGCTTGCTCGGTCTTACCATGTGATGACCCCTTTCATGTTACAATGGAGCAAGAAGACTCTTAACAGGTGCTGGCACTAAGCTCCTGAACTGCCCAGCCTTTAGAACTATGAGCTAAATAAATAAACCTTTTTTTAAAAAAAAAAATAAACCATCCCGTATTTTGCTAAAGCAACAGAAAACAGACTAAGACAGGCCCTTATAAGAATAGATGATAGATGATGTGTTATGCTGATTTTTAGTCTTGCTCTCTTCTGATAAGAGTTTATTTTTCCTGGTTTATGAAACTCCTGGGACTGATGACTGGGGTGTTCCCTTTGGAGAATCAGGGGAGTTTGGAGAAAGTTCCTCTCTGCATTCGCTGTTCACCATGTGCTTTCGGATTGAAGCCGTTGGTATGCTAAAGAAGCACATTTTCTAGTGGCATTTCCCCAGATCCTTCAACACCTTCCTAACCTGATGTCTCTAGTGAAGCATTATTCATAGTGGTTACGCCAAAACACACTCCCACGAGTATACTTTACTCACTCATCATTCTCACAAATGCTTAGGAGTCATATTGACAGGAAGATGGGTTTACTCCAAAGCACCTTTCAGGAAGTCAGAGGAGAACTTTCTATCTCATAACTCTATTTTGGGGGTCTCAGGGGCTCAGAAAACTTTTATAAGCAAAGTGGGACAAAAGACAGGGGATAGGCATATGCAGATGTAGTTAAACAGAATTTGTCATTCGAAAACTCCCTGCTCTCTGTCCTTAGCATGAGGCAGTTTCTGTTCTCAGCATGAGGAAATGCAGGTTATAGAAAAAAGTTATAGGAAGTTGCCCTTATTTTCAGAGGAAGTTTATTTCATAAGGAGATGTAGGTCCTTATTTCATGATGGACTAGCCATTCAATGTGAGTTTTTGATTTTTGTCTCCTTGTTAATTGAGAAACATTACTGCCTTATAGTTTTGTTGTTGTGTCTTTGGTACTAAAGATTGAACCTAGGACACTTTTTACCATTGAGCAACATCCCTGTGCCTTATAGTTTTTATTTGAATCTCTCTTTTTAGTGAGCTTTCTGCACATGCCATTTTTTTAACCTTTTGATTTTTCTAATATTCTTTTTTTATTACAGTATATTATTATTGTTTTAATCTCTTTTTTATTCCAGTTTTTATTAGTGTATTATGAATATACATAGTAGTTGTGTTACCCTTGGGATACCCAGTTGAAGTTCAGGTTCTTGATGTCCTGAACAAAGAATTGAGCTAGACACACAGAAGTAACAGAGTACAGATTTATTTAAAGTGAAGATAGCACTCTAGTAGGTAGAATGGAGGGGGCCAAGTGCAAGAGAGAAGCTCAAGGCCCCAATGTCTGGAAATCAGGGTCTTATATCCTGGCACAGGGTGTCCTCTTCCCTGTACAGACCTGATTGAAGACCCTACCCCATTTCTCCCATTGATTGTCTTATGAGATCTGATTAGAAAATTTTCCAATTTTCCCCCATTGATTACTTTAGAAAACTTAGTTAGAATACTGCCCACTTGACTTCCTTCCCTTTGTCATTTCAAGATTTGAACCTGTGGCAAGAGTTGTCATGGTGATGTCCTCAGTGGCAGGAGTGGTCATGGAAATGGGTTTTATGATAAACAGGATCAGGACTTCTCTCCTGTCTGGTCCTTCACCAGCTTCTTTTTAATACTCTGCCTCCGCCATCTTGGTGTCCCTGAACCCAACAGTAGGGTTCATCTTGACATCATACATGCATGGAATATAATTTGTTCCACTTCAGTCCCCAGTACCTCCTTCCTCTTCCCCTTCTCCCTGCCCCTGGTTTCCTCTCCTCTACTCCCAGGCTTTTCCCTGCATCTATTTATGGTCTTTATGAATTTGTTCTTTATAGTAATACAGATGGAATTCACTGTGGCCCTTTTACCTCAGCACCCTGCATAATTTGATCAACCTCATTTCACTGGGCTTCCCTTTACCACCCCTACGCTACCCGCCTCCCCCCTTCAATCTTCCTTCTCCATTCCTCTGATTCCCTTCCATTTTCATGGTGTCCCCCCCGCCCCCGCCCACAACCTGCTTTTATTTTGCTCTAGCTTCCACACATGGGAAAACATTTGCCCTTTGACTTCTGAGTCTGTCTTACTGCACTTAACATGATGTTTTTGTCATTCTTCTTTATGGCTGACAAAAACTCCATTGTGTATAGAGACCACATTTTTTTATCTATCCATCTGCTAACAGACATCTGGACTGGTTCCATAACTTGGCTATTGTGAATTTTGCTGCTATAAACATTGATGTACCTGCATCTCTATGGTCTGCAGGCTGTAATTCTTTGGATAAATACCAAGGAATGGGATAGCTGGGTAATACAGTGGTTCCATTCTTAGTTTCTGAGGAATCTCCATACTGCTTTCTAGAGTATGAAATAATTTGCAGTTCCACCAACACTGTATGAGTGTATTTCCCCCCTACATCCTTGCCAGTATTTATTATTTTTTTGTATTTTCTATGATAGTCATTCTGACTGCAGTGAGGTGAAATATCAATGTGACTTTGATTTACATTTCCCAGATTGCTGGGAACACTGAACAGATTATATTGAGGAGTATCCCTTCCCTTTCTATTTCATGGAATAACTTAAGGAAGATTGGCATTATTTCTTATTTCCATGTTTGGTGGGATTTGGTGAGAATCCATCTGGTCCAGGGCTTTTCTCGGTTGGAAGTCTTTCAATTGCTGCTTCAGTCTCCTTGCTTGATATTGGTTTGTTTACATTTCTATATTCCATGGGTGAATTTGAGTAGATCATAGAAATTTGTCAATGTTTTTTAGGTTTTCCTGTTTATTTTTTTTTTATTTTTTTTTTTTCCTTAACATTACTTTATTTTTTTTTTTTATTTTTTTTTATTGGTTGTTCATAACATTACATAGTTCTTAATACATCATATTACACGGTTTGATTCAAGTGGATTATGAACTCCCCCTTTTACCCCGTATACAAATTGCTGTATCACATCAGTTACCCTTCCATTGATTGACATATTGCCTTTCTAGTGTCTGATGTATTCTGCTGTCTGTCCGGGGAGGGGAGGGGGGATAGTAGAGAATAGGTTTTCCTGTTTATTGAAGTATAAACTTTCAAAATAGTTTCTCATGATCCTCTGAATTTCAGATGTTATCTGTGGTGATATCTCCCTTTTCATCTCCAACTTTGTTGATTTGGGTCTTCTCTCCCTTTTTTGATTAGTTTGGCTAAGGGTGTATCAATCTTGCTTATCACAGCAAAGAGCCAACTCTGTTGCTTTGATCCTTTGTATTGCATTTGTTCTCAATTTTATTAATTTTGTCTCTGATATTAACTATGTCCTGCCTTCTACTGATTTTTGAACTAGTTTGTTCTTCCTTTTTCAGGGCCTAGAGGTGTAATATTAAATTATTTATTTGAGTTTTTTTTTTTTAATGTAGGCCCTTGATTCTATAATCTTTCCTCTTAGAAATGCCGTCATACTATTCCAGAGGTCTTGGTATGTTGTTTCTCTGCTCTCATTTGTTTCTATGAATTTTTTAAATTTCTCCTTTGATTTTGTCTATGACTCACTCCTCCTTCAAAAGTATATTATTTAATCTCCAGGTGTTAAATTCTTAAATGATTTGTTTTTATCTTGTTAATGATTTCTAGTTTCATACCATAATGATCTAGTAAAATGCAAGAAATGATCTCAATTTTTTTTTTGTAACTGCTAAGACTTGTTTTTTGTCCTAAAATGTGGTCTATTTTAGGGAAGGTTTCAGGTTCAACTGAGAGAAAAGTGAATTCAGTTACTGATGGGTAGAATATTCTATAGATGTTTGTTAGATCCATTTTATTAATAGCATTGTTTGGTTCTGAAGAATCTTGGTTTACATCTGGATGACCTATCTATTGGTAAGAGAGATGTTTTGAAATCAGCCAGAAATATTAAATTATGGTCTATTAGATTCTTTACGTTTAGTAGGTTTTTTTTTAAATGTGAGTAGATGCATCGAGGCCATTTTGATTTATTTATGATGTTTTATCCAGACTTTATTCTCCTTTAATTAACTATTCTTCTAGTGAAGTTCGGCCATATGCTGGCTTTGATATTCACCTTTCATTTCTTCTGTATGAAATATTTCACTTGGTATACTTTGTAGTGCAGGCTTAGTGGTTACGACTGCTTTTAGTTTCTCTTTGTCTTGAAAATTTTTTATTTCTGCTTTGATTCTGAAGGGTGGTTTTTCTGGATATGGTAATCTTGATTGAAAATTGTTATCTTTTAATGCTTTATATATTTTATTCCAAACCCTCTTGCCTTTTAGGTTCTGGTTTGAAAAATCAGTACAAATTATAATCGGCTTAACTCTAAAGGTGACTTCTTCTTTTTCTTTTCTGGCTTTCAGAACTCTATCCTTGGTCTGCAGAGCACGCATTTCAGTTATAATGTGTCTTAGAGAGAATCCTTTTTGATCTTGTTTATTTGGAGTTCTAATTTTCTGTTGCATTTGGTTTTCCACTCATTCCTGAGGTTTGAATTTTTTTTATTATTCATTGAAAAGATTGTGCGTTTTTAATTTAATTTTGTTCCTTCATGGATGCTAATGATTCTTAGATTTGGTCTCTCAATGTTATCACAGATTTCTTGAATATTCTGATCTCAACATTTTTTTTCTCTATCATTGACTCCACTTTCAAAGTTACATATTTTGGTTGTGAACAACCAATAAAAAAAAAGGTGAAAAAAAAAAACAAAGTTACATATTTTGCCTTCAAGGTTTGAGAATCTGTCTTCAAAGTGGTCTAGTCTATTAGTGATTTTTTTCAACTGAATTTTTAATTTTCAGGATTTGTGTTTGGTCCTTTTTCAGCATCTCTATTTCTTTGTTGAAATGTTCTTTCACTTTCTGTATGTTCTATCTTAGTTCCTTCCGTAGATCTTATTTAGTTCATTGAACATTTTAATTATCAACTTTCTAAATTCTTTTTCTGGCGTTTCCTCTATTCTGAGGTGTCCGTGGGATCAGTTATGTCGTGAGGTACTTGGGATAGCTTGCTCTCTTCATTTTTCATATTGTTAGTATTTATGCCCATCTCCTGGGATAATTCTTTCTTCTACTTTTATGGGAGGGATTTTTTAGCGAGTTGTTTTTTCTTTACTGTGTGTCCTGGGTTGGTCAAATATTTCAATGTTGATATTTTCACTCATTTTGAACTTGCTACTATGTTCTGTCTCTTAACATCACATTGAGATGAGATACTGGTCCCCAGGAATTATAGCCACTTCAGAGCAATGCCTTCTACTAATATTTAAAAAAAAAATACTAATAATGTTCTTCTGCAACCCACTAAACTATTGTTCTTGGTCAGTTTTTTTTTGGGGGGGGGTACTAGGGATTGAACTCAGGGACACTCAACCACTGAGCCACATCCCCAGCCCTATTTTATATTTTATTTAGAGACAGGGTCTCACTGAGTTGCTTAGCACCTTGCTTTTGCTGAGGCTGGCTTAGAACTCATGATCCTCCTGCCTCAGCCTCTGGAGCCACTGGGATTACAGGCGTGCACCACTGTGCCTGGTCTTGGTCAGGTTTTTGAAGTAGGGGGTTTTTGTGTGTGTGTGTGTGTGTGTTTATCATTTGTTTATTCTCATCTCTGATCCAAAGGAGTCAAACTTGTTAGGGGAGTCTCTATATAGAGTTTGACTGCAGGCTTTTACTTTCCATCTTTGTAGGAGTCTCAGACCTTATTCCGATGGTTCAAATTCCAAACAGCAGAGCAAATGGAAGTGCCTCTCCCCTCTACTTTGCCATCTTGCCAAATCTTGAAAACATTACTAATTTCCTGGTTTTTATGATGCCCATGGTTTTCCCTGAGGATCTTCCAGCCCAAGCAGAGTAGAGAGACTCGGGCTTCCTGAGCCCAAGAAGGGCAGCCTAGACATGGATCCAAAGAACCTGACTTATTTTATTCCTAGTATTTTGTGGTATTCTCCTACTAAATATATTAGCCTTTTGTTACGTAATAGTAAAAAGGTTTTGGAGTGCTTTTGACTGACTTTCACAGTGGTATTTTTGTTATACAAAAGAAATGGGTTTAGGTAGTCTAGTTTCTCAATCTCTCTTGTGCGGATTTGGGATTTTGTAACATGTTTTAGCATTCTCCATTTTTAGATGATAAACAAAAGTCTCCTATTTTTTGCAAAATAGTTTTGGATTCATATTTATTTTTTTATCTGTCCAGAAATATTTTTAAGTATGTACTAGGGTCAGAATATAACCCACCTTTTTTTTCCCCAGATAGCTACATAGTTTTTTTTTTTTTTAATTTATTTTTTATTTAGAGACAGGGTCTCACAAAACTGCTTATGGCCTCACATTCAGTGTAAATTGCCAAGGCTGGCCTTGAACTCATAATCCTCCTTCCTCAGCCTCCTGAGTTGTTGGGATCATAGTCATGTGCCACCACACCTGCCTTTACATATTTGTTCTTATGCCATTTATTTCATGAAACATTCCCTCAGTGAAGTGATACCTTTATAACATACCATGATATTATGATATAAGAAGTATGTATTTGGTCTTCGTCCCTGGTTTCTAACCATAGAGCTTCTTTTTTATTTTATTTTTAAAAATTTTGTGGGCTTCATGTGTATTAGCCAAGAATTCCACTACTGAACTACACCTGCCGCCCTTCACAAGAGCTTCTGAAATACTAGGGTTTGCCTGAATGATGGGAGCATTTTTTGTTTATTTACTCTTCTTTCTCTCTCTCTTTCCACTTTTTATTGATTCTTTTTAGTGATACATAACATTGGGATTCATTTTGACATAATTATAAAGGCACAGAATATAATTTGCTCTAATTTAGTCCCAAGTATTTCCCCTTTCCCATTCTCATCCCTCTCCCTGTTCCCTTCCTTCTACTGTAATGACCTTTCTGCTATTTAATTTTAGTTTTTTGTCTGTGTTTTGTGTTTTGCTTTTTTTTTTTTTTTTTTAGTTAGTGTCTTGTGAATATGAGTGATGGTGAGATTCACTGGGGTATACATGCTCTTTGTCCTTGGTTACTGGCACAGACATCCTAAGAGCTGTGGAATTCCCTGAGAAGAGTTTCTTTGTTTACTAATAAGATGGTCCTTGGCTGAGTGGGACTTGGGTGTGTTCAGAATGGGAGATGGCTGCTAGGAAGATCAACCATGTAATCAGAAGGTCAGAACCTTTAGCCCCACCCTGGCCACTGGAGAAAGAACAGGAGGTAGAAATGGAGTTAATCACCAATGGCTAATGAATTTAATCAATTATGCATCCATTTTCTTTGACCATCAACTTTAGAAAACTTCCAATTGTTAATTTTTTTCTCTGCCTCTTTGAGATAAATCTTCTCCCTGCCTCTTGCCACTTGTGCCACTCCTACCACCTAGGAATAGCTATCTCAAGGATTTGAGAGCCATCCATTTGAAATTTAAACCAGAAAGATATGGCCTCTATGGCAGTACTGTAAATTTCTTAGATTTACTTTAATTTGATCTAACTATTTTGCTTTATAATTCTAGAATTCTGCTTTTATCTTTTTTAGTTACTGCCTTCTGTTTTCTCTATCCTCATTATTTTGAAAAAAATTCATATTTAATATCCTGAGATTTATTTCCTTTTTTTTTCTTTTAAGAAAAATCTGGGTGCAGATGGCATATACCTGTAATCCCAGCAATTTAGGAGTCTGAAGCAGGAGGATTGTGAGTTTGCAGATGGCCTCAGCCACTTAGTCAGACCCTGTCTCAAAATAAAAAATCGGGATAGTTGGTGATACAGCTCAGTGATAGAGTGCCCCTGGTTTTATCCTCAGTACCAAAAATAAAAGTTATAAACACATCTAGACTTTTCCTAGTTTTGTTATGAATTACCAGTTTTGTAACAATCAGAGAATATTTATAATATATTTACTTTTGGGAATATTTATAAATCTCTTTTGTGAAACAACAGATCATCAGTTTCTGTTCTGAATGCTTAGATAATAGGCTGAAGTCCATTTGAAAAATAATGTCTTCAAGAAAGAGTTGCTAGAAACATACACTAATTTTGTAGATGATTTAAAATGTCAAGCCTGATGATTGAATAATAGTTTTGTTTGGTAAACAACTGAATTTTTTTTATTTCCCTAAATAATAGACAAACTAATTATGAAGTTTCTCTTTCTTTTAAGCCAGGGGAACTCCCCATCTGTGTGGCCATCTGTACGGAGCTATTAGTCTGAGGTCCAGAAAATAGCTTCTCTGAGCACATACCTGGTACATGTATGCTCATAGGCCATGTTTCTTGTTTTGCATCTCTTTGCAAAGATGAATGGTGCAAGATATAGACTAATGGATCTTATGAATGTCAATATCAAGCTTAACCCCAAGACCACTGCTGTAGGCTGAGTGTTGCAAATATCAAAACATTTAAAAATTAAGAATGGCCATGTAGAATCTAAAATGGAAGAATAGCAAAGTAAAACTAGATCCATTGACAATTAAAATATCTTAGAATAATTAAAAATAGTATTGTACAGGTGTGTGCCTGGACAAAGAGACAGTAGAACACCATAGAAAATTCATCCAGTGATGGATTCATGCAGGAAGCTCTATTGGAAATGGCATTTCAAGTCTGGGTAGGGGGTGGGGGTGGCAGATGAATTATTCAAGTAATAACTAATAGTGTTGGAATAAGGAAGTAATCATTTGGATGAAATACAGTTGGTTCATTCTTCTATATCTTATGTCTTACTAGCTAATTATACACAGATCAGTATGTCAAAGCTTTAAGAGAAAAAGCTTCTGTTCTGAAATGAATGTTCTTTTTTCTGGTTTTCAGGAGAAAGTTCTGCCATTAGTGCACCCAGGTGAGAACTTCCCAGTCAAAATTGCAACTCTGGAGTGTTCCCTCGATCGCAATTTGGAATACCTATGAGTTCTCTGTAATAGAGACTGAGGCTATTGGATCACGTGGTGTCTTCCTCTTAATACTCTTGTCTCTTAATACTTCATTACATTTATGCTATCAGAGCTCTGTCTTAGGGTGAGCCACATGACTCCAGGTGTTAAGTTATTTAGGATTAAATATATTTTAATTAATGTACTAACTTAGATATTAATGATTATTGAGTACCTATATGTATAAGTTATCATTAGATATTTAGAGGGGTAAAAATATCATTATTAACTATGATTACGATTATTATCATTTGGCAGTACTGGGGATTGAATCCAGAGCCTTGAGCAACAGACAAACTAATTATAAAGTTTCTATTCCCTTGAAGCCAGAGGATCTCCTATACCCATCCATGTGCCATCTACATGGAGTTATTAGTCAGAAGTCCAGGAAATAGCTCCTCTGATACATGCCTGGTAGGCAGGTGCTCTACCACTGAGCTACATCCCCAGCCCCTAGAGGGGTGAAAATATGCATAGACTAGAGGCCTATTTCTTCAAGAGAGATAATATCTTATAGGAGATGTAAGATATGCACAGAGAACAAGAAAGACAGAGATAAAGTAATGAGAAAGATGCTGGTTAAGTTCTGTGAGAGTTTATAAGAGATTATTGGTAGCTTGGTCAATTTCCTGACTTGTGGTCACTCAACCTTTGTCCTCTGAACCTGTGAAGCTAGGTCCTCTGTTAGGATCTAAAAAGATAGATATGGGGAGAAAAGAAAACAAATATGAGGAAGAGAAAGTCGTAGCCAAGTCAGAGCCAACAGTCTGTGTCATGGGCCATTCGGTCACCTGACGGGGGTGTCCTGCACCTGGCTTCTACTCACGCTCTCCCCAGCCTCTTCCCTCTCTATTCTCTCTCTCCCCAGGGACTACCACGTAGATAGTTCACTTTCTCACAGAGATGCTGCCAGCCCGAATCCTCAAGGGTTCACCCACCCTGGCCCACTCCTGGACACGGAGGATCTGCAGCCGGAGTATGTCAATGGTGAGTCCCCACCAGGAGGGGACCTAGGGCTGGGACAGGGAGGGAAGCAGAAGAGACAACCAGGCAGTCTTGCCTCTCCAACCTCAGGAGGCCCAGTCACTCCAAGAAACCAATGAGTCCCTCAGAGCCATGTTGGGGGTATGGTCATGGAGCACGTGACTGGGAAGGTGTGGCTGATGCTTGAACTTAACTGTGAACCTCAGGGAACGCTTGTCTTCTTCCTGCAGTGAGCCCCGGAGGAGATGAGGATGTGGTTTATTCCCAGATCTATAGCAGCCAGCAGCCAGAAGGCTCAGGTAAGAAACTTCAGAGTGATTCCTGTCAGGTGGATCTTCCTTGGAAACGTGCATTTTGTGCACAACAGGCTGCAAGATATCACTTACCCTTGGAATGAATCAGGAAGGATCAGGAGGTACCTGGAGGCAGGCTCTTGTGAATAAACTGAACTAAAGAAAAAAAAAAGCAGAAGATCCAATAATTCTTCATTTGAATAGGACTAGACAGTTAAGGAGTATCCAGGATATAAGAAAGAGAGAAGAAAAACAGAGAAGAGTTAGAATTTCTAAAGCTATCATATCCAAAGTCCAGTCTCGGTTGGAATGGGTCATTGCGAAGCCTCTTTTGTTTTCAGTTTTCTGTTTTAATCGGTGTATTATAATCACACATAATAGTGGGATTGAAAATGCCATATGCGTACATGCACATAACATAATTTGGTTAATCTCATGCCTCATTATTTTCCCTTCCCCTCCCCTTCTCCCCCCCATCTGTCTAATCTGCTCTAGTCATCTCCTATTTTTAATATTATCACCATTATTATTTACCATTATTTAAGTGATGCATCTTAATCACACACAAAGGTGGGATTTCTTGTGGCCTATTCATGCGTAGACACAACATGATTTGGGTAGATTTTGTCCACAGTACCTCCCAGGTTCGTAAATGGATGGAGATGGAGAACATCATGCAAAGTGAAATAAGCTGTGCCTCTCTTTAAGTGCCTGAAGACTTGGGATGACAACACGAATCACCTGATCTAGACAATTGTCACTTGGACACATAGCTTTGCAGGAACCAAGAGGACAGTTCTGTGGCAGTGCAGAGTGAGAACTTCCAGCTGTGGCCCTGAACCTGCCCTTTCTTCTGTGCTCTTAGCTTCTGACGGAGCCAGTGGCTGTTGGCAGCTTGGTCAATTTCCTGACCTGTGGTCACTCAACCTTTGTCCTCTGAACCTGTGAAGCTAGGTCCTCTGTTAGTGTGGATTAAAGTAGTGCCACTGTTGTTTCCTTCTGGGACCAGCCCAGCAGAATAGACAAACTACAGTAGGGTCTACCGGGTGTTCATCTTCCAAGCTCTTGAGGTGTCGATCCGCAGTTAAGGAGAAGGAGGAGATTCAGTCCTACTATATACTTTGAAAGAAGGGGGAAAGAAACAGACAGCAGTGAGCAGACCCTGCAGCCAGACTCCAACTGCTGGGTGACTGGGACCTGTCATCTTTGAATGTGCATTAAGTATCCTTCTCTATGGTAAGGTGAACCATCCGTGATGGATTATCTAAAAAAAAACATAGAGGAATGACGGTAAAAGGAGCCCTGGAAGGATGTTGTAATGGTCAGAGAAGCCAAAAAAAATAAATAAATAAAATAAATCATGAGGATAATAGCTCACAGGAAGTTTCATCAGAGAGAGGAAGAGCTTTGTTAGTAAGTGTTGGTGGGGGACATGGGGCATGCAGTCTTATAGGAGTTCAGAGTGAGCAAATTTAATGGATGGATTTTACGGAACAGGAAGGGTTGGACTTCTATCCATGAAACGTAGCAGTTCTCTGCCCTGCCGCACACAGTCTGGGCGTAGGATATAAGCAGAGACCCAAGTATTCAGTACTATTTGTTTTTTGCCTCCACAGCACACATCAGGACGTCTCTGGAGAACAAGGTGAGCTGGAGCCTTTGGCAGTTCCTGCGTCTCGACTTTCTTCACCTGATTCCTTCTCTTATGCCGGTATATCCCACTGTTTTGTGTCTCTGCCAGGATTTCCGAGTCATCTACTCCACTGTGAAGAAGTCATAAAGCTTGGCAGAACCAAGAGCAGATGGCTGCAAAGATAGCGCCTCACTATGGATTTTATTAGCCCCTCTGCAAATGCTCAAGGCTGACCCCCATCACAGCAAGAATGTGCCCCAGGGACTCTAGGCCAGCCACCTCGCATCATGATTTTTATTCCCATCAACTTCCCTCCCCGATATTTTCTCTTATTCATTAAATATTTCTTGAACTGCCACTACATCCCAGGTACTGCGAGGTCAATGATCTCTAGATCTTAAATCATCAACGTGAAAAGACTTGAACAGCAGAGGCAAGGCCTCTCCTTCTCCTCCTCTGAAGTGAGAACAATAGAACCCGGCTAGGGGCTTCTTTTTCCTTCCCAAACTAGGACTCGGTCACCTTTTGCCTCCCCAGAGACCTCACTGACAAACGGAATTCTCTCTTGCTCTTGTGAGAACTTGACAGGGGACTCTGGGAGGAAACGGCAGCCTGGGGTACTTGCCACCGTGTCCGGGTTCTGGAAGGTTCAATTTTACATCAGTTTAAACAAACTAACAAGGGGGCTTACCATGTTTTGAAGTGTTCAGTGTTGCACATTGATTCCCACAGTGTGGGCAGTAAGAACACAGCCTTTGGAGTCCTGCGGTGTGGCCCCAATCCCATTCCCTTCCAGTCGGGTGTTCTTGAACAAACTACTGAAACTTCTTGGGCCTTGGCTTCCTAGATTTTGGATAAGTATGACCCACAGGGTTACCTGAGGATTATGTAAACATTCATTCATTGCTTGACATGGTTTCTGCCCTATAGGTCACACTGCAGAAGTTCTTCGTGTTCATGTCAGATACACAAAATGATCACTCCGCCTTCAAGCTCAGCCCTAAAGCTTCCAGCTTAATTAAGAAATCAAAGTAATGAGGAACTCAAAGCTAATGACTGTCAAGGGCAACTAGCAAATTTTCACCACTCTGCTTTTTAAATGAATGTTTTATATAATTTCATGCCCTTATTTCTGTCACGGTAAAATAAGCTGCTTGGTGAGAAGAAATTTACTTGTGTTCTTGCTCAGACGGTCCATCCACGGTGTAGTTGGCAGGAGTAGCACAGTGAGCACAGATGACAGGTCCGAATGCAGAGCAACAATCTGTTCCAGGGAGGACAAGTTACTTTTTTTCATATAATTGTTTCTGGCAAATGCAGTCACCAATTGGAAGGATGTATGTAGGTGGCTGTGGGCTTGGAGTTGGTATTTAAACAACTGAAAATAATTCAGAATGTATGAAGTACATAAAGTTCGTTAGAAAAAATAATCCAGAGTGATTATGACTGTTATTATTTGATTTTTTATTGAAATGATTATAGATTATCCAGAAATTGCAACACAGTGAACCAAGAGACCTGTGTACCCTCAACCCAGCACCTCTGTCAGGTAACATCTTGAGTAAATCAATGTTGGTGCCATCCACAAAATATCTTCAGATTTCACACATTCCACAAACACTCACTGTGTATGCGTGCGTGCGTGCGTGCGTGCGTGCGTGTGTGTTTCAATGCAGTTTTATCCACAGTGTAGCTTTGTATAACAAGCTCCACGGTGATCAGGATTTAGAGGATTGCTTTCACAGAGAGCTCTCTGTGGCTACATGGTCTTGTCTCCACTCCCAATCTTTAACGTCAACCACTAACCTGTTCTTCATGATTAGAACTATGGTATTTCCAGGAGGTTATTTAAATGGAATCATAAAATATACAGGTTTTCAGATTGATTTTTTTTCACTCAGCACATGCCTTGAGAGCCATTTTCATGTCATTCAATAATTTGATTGTTCCTATTGCTGAGTAGTATTCCACGGCACAGATCAGTCATTCATCTACTGGAGGACATTGAGGTTGGCTCCAGGTTTTGACTATTACCAATCAAACTTCTATGATCATTTATCAACAGGTTCTTACTGAACACGAGTTTTCATTTCTCTGGGATAAATGCTTAAGAGTGATTACTAGGTCTTAATGGCATGTGCATGTTTAATTTGAAAAGACAATGCCAGAATAGCTACTCTTTTTCATTTCCCAGCAGTGAATGAGTGATCTGTTCTTTCTGTATCCTTGCCAGCATCTGGTCTCATTGCTATTTTTCATTAAAGCCATTCTGATTGCTGTACAGTGATATCCAATTGTTGTTTTAATTTGCATTTCCCTCAGGACTAATGTTGACCTTTATATATTTTGATTACCTGTTTTTCACAGGTAGATCCTCATTGAGAAAAATATTATTCAGGTTTTTGTTCATTTCCTAATTGAATTGTTTGCTTTTGCTGTTGGATTTTGAAAGCTTTTTATAAGCTTTGTTGGATATTGGATGCAAATACTTTCTCCCAAGTCTATACCTCATCTTTCCATTTTCATAATAGGTCTTTCACATACCAGGAAAACTATTTTTAATTTTAAAGAGGTCATAGTTATCGGGAGGCAGAGGCAGGAAGATCACGAGTTCAAAGCCAGCCTCAACAATTTAGCAAGGTGCTAAGCAACTCAGTGAGACCCTGTCTCTAATAAAATAAAAAATAAGGCTGGGGATGTGGCTCAGTGGTCGAGAGCTCCTGAGTTCAATTCCTGGTTCCCCTCCCTCCAAAAATGAGGTCAAATTTAGTGATTTTTTTCTTTTATGATTCTTTTCTTTCCTTGTGTTTTATATCAAGTCTTAGACTCTTTACCTATTCTCAACCCACATAGGTTTTCTCATGTTTTTTTTCCCAAATTTTTTATATTTTTACATGCTACATTTAAGTATGTGATCCATTTTTATATTAGATATGAAGCTTAGGTTAAGGTGTATCTTCTTCACCTCTGGATGTCTCATTGCTTGAGTATCATTCATTGAAAAGGTTATCCTTCCACCTTTCAAGACTTTGTCAAAAATCACTTGGGCAAATATGTCTATTTCTGTGTTCCACATTCTTTTCTACAGACTTTTTTTTTTTTTTTTTTTTTTTGGTGCTGGGGATCAAACAAGGCAAGCACTCTACCAACTGAGCTATGTCCCCAGCCCCAAATTCTATCTTTATTACTGTAGCTACTTAATACTTTTAACTTTCAGTGCTAGGGATCAAACTGACATGCTAGGCAAGCACTTTACTACTGAGCTACATACTCAGTCTTGTAATTCTCTTTAATATCCAGAAGAGCAATTCTTCCAATTCTCTCTTCCAATTTCATTATCAATTATTTTTAACAAATGCTAATGAGAAGAAGAGTAGCAGCTGTAATAAAATAACATGTTTTCATCTCTAACATGTGCAATTAGCATGATAATGGCAGGAATATGTAGACCAAATATCATGACAGAATTATAGTAAAGAATATAGTCAAGAAGGAAAAAAAAAGGGGGTGCTCGCTTCGGCAGCACATATACTAAAATTGGAACGATACAGAGAAGATTAGCATGGCCCCTGCGCAAGGATGACACACAAATTCGTGAAGCATTCCATATTTTTGATAGTAGAGGATAGGAAAGGTAGCAGACTACAACAGTTACTAATAGGGCATTATGTATATATGTGGATGTGTAACCAATGTGATTCTGCAATCTGTATTTGGGGTAAAAATGGGAGTTCATAACCCACTTGAATCTAATGTATAAAATATGATATGTCAAGAGCTTTGTAATGTTTTGAACAACCAATAAAAAAAGGGGGGGGGCATCTGTATAGGTTTTAAAAAATGGCAAAGAAAATATCAAGAGGAGAGAGGTCTCCACTTCCAGATTACTATTCTCATTATTATTTTTATCCTTGGCTGAATTTTCTTTCTTTTCATATCACAATTAAAATGACTGAAGAAACACAAAATTAGGGGAAATATGTGTATTGGCACATGCCACCCATAAAATAGAAATTACTTCAAAATATTATGCAGGTGAAAGGAAATAAATAATAGAAATACCTACAAGTATGCCTTCAGGRGCCGCAAATGGATTATGGGTCTATGAACTGCCCAGAGACAGAGGTGCCCATCTAGAGAACTCTCAGCACCAAGGGCCCAGCAGAGATTGCCCAGTTGCCAAGGGGAGTTCCTTGCTAGCTAAGGAATTTCATCAGTTTGTAACCTTGGATTCCAACACCTGCTGCCCAGTAGAGAGTCATGGGCACACGCTGATAAGCCCTCACTGGGCTGTTTTAGCCCCAACTTCAGTTTTGTTTATCTTGAAGATCCTTTCTCACAGTCAATCCTTTTGATGTCTACACTATATAGTAATCGTGTGGTGCTTGCTTGTGGTCAGTCTTCCTCCACCAGGAGTCGGCTGAAGCACCGAGCCCCCAACTTTTTCTCTACTTTTGTGTCTGTTCATCTTCTCTTAATCCCCTCACTGCCTGGTTTGGGAAGCAGTAAACGGCCGTGCAGGACGTTAAATGAGAATGAAATGAGGAACGTCTCTGGTATTGAAGTCTGAGCATCGGGGACTGAAGGTGAGCAGGTTTCATGGGGCTACCACGAGGTGGGTTAGTATAACCTGTACAGTTAACCCTGGGGAATTAGCAGGTATCAGGATATAAATTTAAGGTGAAAAATACCTAAATGTGAACTTTAAAAAAAGAGACAAGAGGGGCCTGGGGTTGTGACTCACTGGTAGAGCACTCGTTTAGAATGGGTGAAGSACTGGGTTYGATCCTCTGCACCACATAAAARTAAATAAATAAARTAAAAGTATTCTGTCCAACTACAACTAAAAATAAATAATAAATAATYTTTWAAAAATAGASACAAGRGGCCTSAAATCAATTGACCTAGACAACCACCCCATCTATTCTTCCTAGACAATCCGGCATGAATCAATGGTTCAGAAAATCTGAAAAGAACTTCCAAGCCGGACCTGGTACCACCTTGTAGTGATGAACTATTATTCACTACTGTTTATGTCCAACCCTTCCTGAGGAAGAGGGCACACTCCCATTATTAACAGCTGCCTTGAGGGGGAACATATTAAAGTGTGCGTGGGGACATGGGTAACTTGCTGTATCTCTGTTTAG